GTAAGTACTCAAACAAGTCGGTTCAAGCAAAATGATGAATAGAAATAGAAAACTGAAATCCGATTCATTTTCAAAAGGGGGCAGAGGCATGTATATTCGGTCGTTACAAAAAGACGAGTTAAAGCACTATCACTCCGACTCAACAAAACTTTTCACAAAAAAAGGGAAGAAATGTCAGTATCGAAAGAAGATATGGAAGCAATGAAGGCGCTTCAAGCTGTGGGATTCGGGTCAGCCTGGCCAACTACTAGGTCAACCACTTCAACATCTTCGTCATCCTCAGCCTCCAGCTCGGCTTCATATTCCTGGTATACGGAGGTGTGGTCTAGCTTAGGTGCCAGCTTCCTCACGGCGTCAGTGGCGAAGTCAAAGCCCTTGTTGGCCAGCGCCTTCACCACCTCGTTGAATTCTGACATCACCTTGATCGCACTTTCCAGGTCGGCATAACTCGACCATTTCTTCTGATGCTCCGCCTCCTTGGCCGCCATGTCCACCTCCGCCTTGAGTCGTAAGTCCACCTCATTTTTGGTTTGAGCCTCGGCGTCCTTTACATCAAAACGAGCCCGGCTTAGGTGATTTTCCAGCGCAGTGCATTCATTCTCTTCCACAACCTTCTTCGCCTTGAGCTTAGCCACCTCAGTTGTCAAAGCCTCTATAGTCTTAGCGGCCTCGTGCTCTCGAGAATGGCTTATCTTCCTCGCGGTGAGCTCCTTGCTTATAAAGGAGTCGATGCAATAAGCCATGAAGTGCAAGTCAGCCAGTTTGTCCATCAGGGCTTGTACATAGTCAGCAGGCTTCTTTAGGAAGGACCCTTCACTCCGCTTCAGTGAACGAGCCGTGCTGTTGTGAACGGCCGTGACAACACTCTCCCAGAGAGCACTGATGGAGAAGCTGAACTTGAAAGGATAATCAAAATCCTTCTTCGGAGCAGAGAGAGGAACCTTCTATTCCTATGTGATGTGGATATGAGGAGGAGGAGACCGAGATGAAGCTTCATCCGACCTACGCGTTCGTTGACTCGAATGCTGCCCTTTCTGGTGAGACCCCGAAGGAGCTGACGTCAGGGTCTGCAGAGGCTTAGCTCGGAGGGGCAAGGAGGATCCCACTGATGCACGTGCCCCTCGATCGAGGTTCCTTCACCTATAGGCCTTTTTTTGACATTGCCTAGAGAACTGAAGAATTTGGACACCATGTTGTCGAGTTTGGATGCTCGTTTCGGTTCAAGGAACGAAAGGCCGCAGAGGTGCAAGTTCACCTCGTCCAAGATTCCCTCGTACCAGATCTTCTCATAGCACTCTACGCGCTCTTTGATCTTTGCTGCGGTCTGGTTGAGCGGAGGTCAGGACGAGGCACAACTGTATTAAAATAAAACACAAGTCAATTCAGGTCTAAACGGAAGCAGATGAAGTCAAAATCCGATCTTAAGACTGAGCCGAGGTAAAACATACCTAACTCTTTGGACTCGTTAGGGACTTGGCAGAAAAGCTCTCCATTCCTAGTGATGAGCCACTCATCTGAGACGAGGAACCATTTGTCTCGCTAGTGTTTATTGGCAGAAGGGGAGTCAACAATCTTACAGAAAGAATTCCGAGCCGATATGTAATACCGACCCGGATGCTTTTTATAGGGTTTTATTATATGGGTGACGAAAAACTGACCTATGCTTACGAAGAGATCTTCGTCACCCAAGCTGAAGCTCCACCAAGTGAACCACAATCTAAGGAGAGTAGCCCACCCATTGGGTGCCAGCTGAGTCGGGGGCAAAATTAGTGGTAGAAAGGAATCTCTGAGTGAATGGCTGAAGAGGCAACCTAACCCTGTGATCGAACATCTGAGGGTAGAAGTCGACCCATCAAGAATGAGGGTTATCAAGACTTTTGTTGACCCGAGGCAATCGTATTTGGATGTTATCAGGTATCCTATATTCCTCTCTAAGCTTGGTAAGGTCGGACTCCCTACAGATGGAAGGAGGAGGCTCAAAAACGATACTAGGTCTACTCGAAGTGGAGGCCTCCCCTAAGTTTGGCTTAGTGATGTTAGGAGGAGTTTCATCTAAGGTCGGCTCGTCCCTATAAAGGTCAAGATCTATGCTAGAGATTGACATGTTATCCTCTCGACTTATGCAGACACAGATAATAGCCCCCCAAACTCAGATGAGGAAACCATACAAAAGAATTAAACGAGTAATAGAAAACACCTGATGACTGATCTAAAGGCAGGTTCTGAGTCGAAGTAATCTGAAAGTTGAGAGAATGTTGGGAAAATTTTAGAGGAAAAGTAGAGGAAATGAAAGAGCTGGTGCTGCCTATTTATAGAAAAGGACAACTTCATCTCAACCGTTCGTGCAATCCGAATTTGACGACCACGATTTGATCCCGCCAAAAAGACAGCTAATGACGACGTCATCCTACGTCAACCCTACCTAAAAGCTCGTCACCTATAACGACGAACCAGGTCAGCCATCGTTAACGAGTGGATGCAAAATGTGACACGTGGCTCATGGATTCATTCCACAGAGAAGCTAAGTATATACATCTCGACTCATTCCCTTGACCGAGTCGATTATCCTCAGTGGTCGAGCCGAACAAGCTCGCTAAAGATCGCATTCCCATGCTATTAGGTGATCCGATTGACTTACCTCAGCTCGATCGCACCTCCACATACTCCACGACAACACGTCGCGTTTCACAGGTAACCTTAAAGAGCCGTTGATGCCTTATCGAGAACACTGTCGAGGGTTTCGCCCATAAATAGAACCATTTCATTCCTTTTGAGGTACGCGAACCTTTCGATTCTGTCTCGATTTGGTTCGAACTTTCACTGACTTTGGCATCAGAGTGCTCTGTTTTGAATGTCTACTACTTGGCATTTGGAGCTCACTGTCCAGCTCATCTAGTCCGAACTGACATTCGCGAAGTTGGTCAATTTCATGATTCAATAGAATCAATAAAAATCAAGTTAAGTGTTTCTCTCATTGTCGTGTGCAAATCTCCCCAACCCCCCCCCCCCAAAATATCGATTTCCTTTGTGTGGTTGAACTTAAATCTCATATTTTACCCCCTCGGACTAGCTTGTTTGATTCGTCATCAAACTCGTGAAGTGTTTCCAGCCTCGAGTATAGTGAGTATTCTGTCTGCTCAAGGGAACGACTGCAAAAGTAATCCATCTAACCCTTAGCATTTCGGGTTGAACCACTTATACGATTGGGTTCAAGTGACTTGTGGCTCGAATAGTCCAATACACTTGAGTTGTCGCGTATCATTCTCATCTACAATAATAGCGATCTCCTCTCTACTCATGGAGAAGTCTAACTGAAATTGTGCACAACTTCAGTTTATCAATAGGGAAGACTTTGGAAAACATATATGCGAGATTCTGACAACAATGAATCTTTTCAAGCACCAGGCACTCCTTCTTTCAAAGTTATCTGACTAAATGGTATCTCACATGTATGTGTTTCGTTTTCGAATGAAACACTAGATTTTTTGCTGAATGAATAATGCTATTACTGTCACGATGCAAAGTCTCTTTTCCCAATGTCAAACCAAGCTCTTCCATTAAAGACTCAAGACATATTATCTCTTTGTTTGCTTTTGTAACTACAACATACTCAGCTTATGTAATGAAAAGTGCTACTATCTTTTATAGTATGAAGACCCAACTAATAACAGTATTACACAAAGTAAAAACATATTCAGTAGTACTCTTTCTGCCATTTGTATCCCTACCTATCGATCTACATATCCCTACAGTTTAAAATTCGACATTTTAAAGTGCAAAGCATAATCATTCGTCTTTCCACTACAACAATTAAGGTTTTTCCCGACACAGAAAAATGTCGGGAAAAGGTTTTCCCAATTTTTTTTGTCCAAAAATAAGTCGGGAAAAGGTCGTTGGGAGAGCTCTTCTCGACAAAAATTTTAAAAAACATCCGGAATTTGCCGACGTTTTACAAAACGTGGAAAAATGTGAGTTTTACCGATGTTTTTGCCAACCATTGGAAAATTTCCGATCTTTTCTAGGCGTCGGAAATGGTTACCTTTCCCGACGTTTTACAAAAACGTCAGGAATTTTCAACAAATCAATAAACGTCGGGAACTTTGGATCCACTTCACAACCTCACAGTGTTGCTTTCTGGATTCTTAATGGTAAAAGAATATTAGTGCAAGTGCACACCCTCCAAACGTAGTAATTGGAAGTGTATTCCAAGTATTGATCCTTAGGGATAAAATGCATCTTTTCAAAATGATGGTGAAGGGTGAAGTGTCATTGCTTTTAGGACAAAATGAGGGGAATTATGTTGGTTTAGGTTTTGAAAACTCAAATTTAAAAGATCTAGCACTTCTACTTTGAATTAAGAGAAAATATCATAATTAATAGCACTAGGCACTAGACGCCTGCTGTTGCGTTCCCACAACCTAGGTAAATGCAAATTCAACTGCATACCATATTCGTCAGTTATAGTACAAATAAGGACGAAATCCTTAGGAACTAAGTATTAAACCTTAAGCATGCGCTGAAGAATACCAAAAATATTATAAATAAAAGATAATACATGTTGTATAGCTAAAGTCTACTCAAAATTAATGAAAATAACAAGGAGAAACTCCAAGAGAGAGATACTAAATAAACAAATGTTGGGGCAAAGAAATGATTTAGCAAACAATAGAAACATGGTGAAACAAATTTAAGATGGGGGAGATGACAATATGCTTTCACTCGTTCATATGAAATGCTCTAGTACAGAAACATAGCTGATGCTCAAATCGATACGGTTCTCCTCAGCGACACCTAGAAATGATTCTCTACAACTTCTGTTGCTAAACAGTCAAGCATAAAAACATTTTCTAAGTATGGTTAGGCGGACCTTGTTCCTAAGCGCCAACGGACCTACTACAAAAGAGTAACTAACCATAAACAGAGTCCCACATGCTTCCTATACGCCCTTCCAAGTAATATAAGATGCAAGCAAACTGATAAACGTGGCCAAGAAAAATCAGTAAGATGAAAGCATTAAATCAACTTTATTTATCAGCAATAGAAACATGCTAGAAAATCTATGTTCATGAGTTACAACAAAGGATTCCCCCTACCCAAAAAATGGGGTTTAGTTGATGGGGAATGTGAAGAATACAATGTGTAAAGAAAAGAAACAACCCATTTCATGAAATAGCAGTTTTAAATCTGCTACAACCTCCGATTCAATGAAAAACCCAGTGGCACCAACTTCTTTCATCATCTCCTCCTAAAAAATGAGGTTTGCTCTCCTTAGCTTGAACACTAAATTTGGAATAATTTCCTATCTTGGGATTGGTTTTGTCGGTTCGGTCAGCATATGCTTTTATATCGAGCCTCAATTTTAGGCAATGCACCTCTTGTACATATGCTCTTAAAATTCAAGATTAGGAAAGTTACTACGCTGCCTCGACTTGCTACCACGTAAGATTGTTCCAGCATAGCATGCTCTGGCACTACAAAGCTCCGACACTTCTCCTTTAAGTCTACTGCAGTTCAGCAACTTTCCCTAATTCTGCACAATTAAAACAAAAACAAGGGAAATAAGCAGGAACTTACACAATTTCATCTATCTAAGGAATTAGAACATGTTAATTAACTTTTCCACTCACTTCCTTAATTTAGCATGTTGCTTAGACAGAGATCCTCGCATTAAAGCATATATTGACTGATAGCACACATTGTGAGCTACATTTCATGAGATTTATATTGAAATTATTTGTTAGTTTTCATTTCTTCATGACAAATTTAAGCACATAAGATATATTTTGCAGGAATAAAGTATCGGGAGGAAACGACACATATTTGGATCAAAATGAGAGAAGAATCGAAATTAGATGATACTTCAGGGATACTCACATGTAGATTGGGCTTCGGACATTGGCGATTGAAAATCGACATCCGGCGGGGTTTCGATATCATCCGAGGTGTGATCGGATTGGTTTGACTCACCTGTGTTTTGCTGATGACTTAATGATTTTTTCGCATGGGGATGTTGGTTCTCTTTCCTTTATCCGTGATTCTTTGGTGGAGTTTGAGGCGTTGTCGGGTCTTGTTGCTAATACTCGTAAGAGCTCTTTTTTTGGGGCTGGTCTTCCTCTTGAGGAGGTGCAGGGGTTGGCTTCTTTCTTGGGGT